GAAAGGAGAAGGATAGAGAGTTAGAAACATCGATGAGAGAGAAACATCGATCAGCTGCTTCCTGCACACCTACTGGGGATGTGCCCGCAACCAAGGTACATGCCCCTGGCCGGAATCAAACCTGGGACCCTTCAGTCTGCAGGCCGATGCTCCATCCACTGAGCCAAACTGGTTGGGCAACCAGGCATTCTTATATTAGACTTTACTTATCCAGTCTTTCACAGATACAATGTTCACAATGAACTCTAACCCAAGTTAAATTTACTATGCTATAAGGTGAAAGGTGAGGCTCTAACTAACCTTGGTTTCTTCCCAGCATCAATCACTAAATAATCCTCTTTTTCCTGTTGATCTGGGGTGTGTGTGTGTGTGTGTGTGTATCTTATACAACAATTTGGATATCTTAAGGTCTATTTCTGAAATTCATCCTGTATTTCTATCTATTATCTAGAACCACTCTATTTTGAGAAATTATATGGTATATTTTTACATCTTGAATTTTAAATTCATCTTTATTATTATTCTTTTAAAAGTAATACTTGGCTGCTCTAAGTGGATAGCTCAGTTGGTTGGAGCGTCATTCTGATGCACCAAGGTTGTGAGTTTGTTCCCTGGTCAGGGCACATAAAAGTCAACCAATAGATGCATAAATGGGTAGAACAATTCAATGTCTCTCTCTCCCCCCCACACACACCCTTTTCCTCTGTCCTTCCCTTCCTCTCTCTAAAATCAATAATTAAAAATTATTTAAAAAAATATAAAATTTAAATTAATACTTGGCTATTCCAGCCTGTTCATTACTTCAGATCAATTTTAGAATCATTTTGATACGTTTCCCCCCCAAAAAAGATCGCTGCATTTTGACTGTAAATGAATTATAAATATGAATTAATTCAGAAAGGTTTATATACAGTATATATGTGTATATCTATATCCATATATGTGTATGGATATTTATATAGTAAATGCAATATTCATTCTTTCTGTTATGACAATAAAATTGTGATCTATAAAAACCAGACAAGAAAGTAAAATATCTAAAAGAGTTCATATAATTCTAACTAGACAACAAAGTAATGAGCAGCAAAACAGGTTGGTGGTGCAAAAAGACCATCATGCACTAAGATTTTGAAATTCCTCTAAAAGAAGCCAAGGCCCCCAGGACATTGTGATGCACTGGGTTGTGAAAATAAATTTCAGCTGAAGTTTAAAGGCTTAAAAGTCTCCTACTGACAAGAAAGTCCCCTACTGACAAGAGCAGGCAAGGCCTCAGGATAGGAGAAACTGCGTGGTAACTGATGGGATGCAGAAAGGTCATCGTAGAAGTGGCAACCAGGTCCTGTCCTACTGAGGCACTAATTTAAAAATGTAACCTTATCCTGGCCCAAATTTTAAACACTGTAACTTCAGTCCACCTAGGTGGTAAAACTGCTTCTCTTAAATTGTTTAAGTGACTTTGCAGGCCTGAGAAGTTATAGATATAATACAAGGGAATAAAGTAAATCAAACCTACAGCATATTAACACTTAGATTTTGCATTTTTATAATCATCATAACTGATACTACTTGTTACTAAGTCATGTGAAACATTTAAGAGAATCAGTCATTAATGAATAACATCAGACTTACAATTTTAATTTGAAATAAGTTTCAAAGTGTACATTTAAAAGAACCTGACTTCATTTACACACTTACTTGACTTACAAGACTTAAGTTCTTGAAAAGATTTTACTATTAGGTTTATAAGTTCTCTGTTCTAGAAATTTGAAGTATTGAAGAGACTAAGTATATAAAACTTTAAATGTGATTTAAAACATTTAAATAAAGCCAGATTTATCAGTAAAACGTATAGTCTTAAGAAAAGCTAAGTATTTAAATACATGTATACCTCGGAGATATTGCAGGTTCAGTTCCAGACTACCACAGTAAAGCGAGCTGTAATCTTTTTGCTGGTGGAGGGTCTGGCCTTCAATTTGTAAAAAACGCAACATCTGTGAAGGGCAATAAAGTGAAGTGCAATAAAACAAGGTATGTCTGTACTCACCTTAAATAGCTAAATCTTTTTTTTTTAATATATTTTTATTGATTTTTTACAGAGAGGAAGGGAGAGAGAGATAGAGAGTTAGAAACATTGATGAGAGAGAAACATCGATCAGCTGCCTCCTGCACATCTCCCACTGGGGATGTGCCCGCAACCAAGGCACATGCCCCTGCCCGGAATCAAACCTGGGACCTCTCAGTCCGCAGGCTGACGCTCTATCCACCGAGCCAAACCGGCTCCGGCTTAAATAGCTAAATCTTATTCTAAGTAAAAGCACAGTATTCTACAAAAAAAAAATCCCTCTTAAAAACCCTCAACTAATGTTATCCAAGAAATGTTAGCCTCCTTTTGTTATTTCAGGTTATTACCAGGAATGATGTATTTTTTGCTGTACATTCTCTTAATCACTATATTTTCAAATGGGTCATTGGTGAAACACAGAAAAACTGAATTCTGTGTGCTGATTTTGTAATTAGTCTCTTTACTAAACTCTTATTTTAATGGTTTCCCTCTTCGTTTAAAAATAGGCTATCCTGTCATCCACAGAAATGAGAATGTTGTCTTCTTCTTTCTGAAAAAATTACGCTTTTGTTTCATGTCTTATTGCATTGGCTAAAACTTCCAAGATAGTACTAGACAATACATTCTTTGCCCTCTTCCTGACTCTAACAGAAATGCCTCTAATCCCAAAGTAATGTTAACTTAAAATTCATATTGTTATCAAGTCATTAAAATATTCCTCCATTCCTCAAGAGTTTTAAAATCAGAAACTTGTGTTGAATCCTAGGGAATTATTTCCTGGAATCATAAATATAAATGATCAGGTTTGTCTTTAAAACAAAACAGTAAACGGCAGTTCCTGTAACTGACAGTGCTTTAGGGAAACAGCTCCGCTGAAAAGCCAGGCTGTGCACAAGCCAGTTCGCTAACCCCCGCACCTCTGACACCCAAGTCTCCACACGAAAATCGCCGCCGAGCCCTGGGCCCGCCACCTTTCAGCAGGCGGCCACCCAAGAATCGTCTAGGTTCTAGGTGACATCAACCCTTAGAATCTTCGGAGTCTGCAACTGGGAATGGGACTTTTCGAAAATGTATTCTTTTCTATCTGGAATTTGACGTTTGGGCTGTCGCTGTGCTGAACTGTTTCTAGTTCCCACTCAACAGCTTAAGTTTCCCCGTATTGACACTACGGCTGGCATCTGCCTTCCGGTTGTCACAACCACCGGCTCCCAACTTCTCCAAAAGTGTCAAACTACAGCTCGGCTTGTGTGAGAGCCCGGTCCCGACAAAGACACGCACCTTTGTCCCCGGCGCGACGCAGGCTACGGACCCACGGGCCGCGTTCGTCCCCCCGCGACCGTCCTCATGCCGG